ACGGTTGGACCTTCCAACCTCGCAGTTTTGTGGCGAAGAAAACATCCTTTGCTGTACTGAATCCGTTAGGGTCGTTTCGATTCGGCTCATCTGGGCTCCTTTGTCGCATTTGGACCACATGTGATGTTTGGTTCATTACTCTCTTTGACTCCACACTCGGTTATCCAGGTGAGGGACCTCCTCCCACCAACATGACTTTGGTGTCAGCAAACGTGGGATCTGTTATGACTGATGTTTCTTGGAAGTCTTGGAACGCCGACGTGGTTTGCCTGCAAGAGACCCGGGTAGGTAAGAATAATGTTCGTACTGCAACCAAAACTTTCCAAGGGGTTGGCTTCACGCCTTGCTTTGGCGAACTTTTGCCCGGTCTGTGGAGTGGTTCAAAATCTACAAAGACTCCCCCCGGGGGCACTTTGATCGCCGGCGGTTCGCCCTACGTTCTGCCCTTTGACCCCCTTCTTGACGTGACAGGGCTATACGCCAAACTTTATCAGACCAAAAGAGTAGTGGCTGCATGGGTTCAAGTCATCCCTCGCAAAAGAGCTTTGGTCTTGTCAGTGTATGCCACTACTAGCGCTTCTCAAGACCCCAAGATCCATGCCATGAATGACGAGTTGTTCGATGACATTTTCACTTTCGTTGCGCAATTCGGCCGAATCCCTATCGTCGTTGCTGGGGACCTCCAAGCCCCACCCATGTCCTACCCGGCCGTTGCTACTGCCATTTCCTTCCAATCTTGGCACGACCCTGTTGCGGTCATTGATGACTTTGGTGAGGCCGTTCGCCCCCTTACGTTTAGTAACGATGGCTCCTTTTCGGGGATTGGTGAGGGATGTACTTCCATCGACTCAGTTTTAGTCAATGACATTGCTTTTGCTGCGTTGGTAAAGGCCGAAGTTCTCGAAATTTTCGGCAAACAACATCGACCCATAAGGCTTGAATTTGACTGGCCTTCTATCAACTTGATTGGTTTTCATCTCCTCAAAGCTGCCCCACTAGTGTTTGATGGTGTCACCGAACCACTTGATCCACCCACAGAAATCTCATGGGAACTCTCCCACAAACAGCAGTTTGATGCTGCGAGTTCGCCCGATGATAAATGGGCAGTTGTCAACGACTTCCTCACAGCTGCACTTGTAGCTAAGGGAGCTTCATGGGGGGATGGACCTCGTGAAAGGGGAAAAGCGCCCACCTTTGTGCCCAGGGTGATTGCCCCCAAACAGATGAAGGGCCACTGTGCTGCCAGCATGAAGGGCATCCTCCTTGCCCGTTTGCTAGGCCGACTCAATGAACTCTTCATTCGTCTCTCACGCTGTGAGGGCTCGGCTCAAGATGCGTACATCACGCAGCGAACAGCAGATAAAGCCTTGAAGCAACTTGTCGATTTGTCTGCTCCAGTTGTTTGGGTTAAGAACAGGATGCCCACTCTCCTGCAAGTGCATTTTGCCATTCAGTGGGTTACTCCAAACATCAAGACTCACGAATTTCGCCTTAAGGTTTCCAGAATCAAACGCTGGAAAGACAGAATCCGGCATTCGGCAACGCACGGATGTGCCTATATTTTTCATCATCTTAAGAACAAACAGCAAGAAGAGCCTGCCAATCTTGTCGTCGACCAAAATCACAACATCATTTATCAGCCGAATGCAGCCCTCACCTTTCTTAATTCTGAGTGGGACCAAGTTTTTAGTGCTAATGTGCTTCAACACCACCCACTTAAGATGCTTGAAACGGTCTGGCCGTATATTCAAGATAAACAGGTCCAGGCTCAAGTTGCGCCTATTACGGGAACTGACCTACATAAGATCATTCAGAAGCGAAAACCCACAGCTGCACCGGGCCTCGATGGTTGGCGCACAACTGAGCTCCAACGCCTGACACCTGCAGAACTACAACCCTGCGCTGAATTTTTTGCCCTGATAGAGGAGACCGACATTGCTCTGCCAACGCCTCTTGTTTGCGCAAAGCAGGTGATACTTAATAAGCCAGGTCCCACTACGGCCCTCAATAAAAGACTCATCACAATCCTCCCGGCCGTCCTCCTGGCCTACACCGGTGCCAGATTTGCTCAACTGCAAACATGGCAACAGGAGGTGATGCCACCGTCGATTCTAGGAGGCATCAAAGGTAGATTCATGTCTGACCTCTATAACCAGCTGCGTTTGGACATTGATGAGGCCGCGCTCCAAGGGGACACTCTCATTGGAATCAAGTTAGACAAAGCTAAGGCCTTTGATAGAGTTGTTCCTAAATTTGTTGCAGCCCTCTTTCTCGCTTTTGGCATTCCAAGTGGCATTGTTTCCTTTTTCGTGAAAATGTATGATGGGTTGCACAGACACCTATCATATCGTAATTGGATCTCTGATACTGCTACAACTGCAGCCAACGGTGTGTGTCAGGGCTGCTCGATGTCGCTTCTGGCTATCAATGTATACAACAAAGTCTGGTGTCACCTGCTCGACCACCTCCCTGAAATTTTAGCCAGGGCCTATATCGATGATTCATACCTGTGGTGTAAACTCCAGCAAGTCGCAATTCTCCAGAAGGCTATCGAAGTGACAAAAATTTGGGACCTCCTTAGCGGGCAGAAACTCAATGAGGGGAAATCCTCTGTTTGGGGCACCTCCTCAAAGGCTCGTAATCAGCTGAAAACTGCTTTCTCAGGTTTCCCCATTGTCCTTGAATTGGATGTCCTAGGTACGAAAGTTTACACTTCTGAGCGTCAACACTTCCAGTTTTCAGAGAAGAAGCTCAAGAAAGTCTTGGCCGATATCGATAATATTGCAGCTCTTCCTGTTGGCAGAGCTACGCGATCATTCTTGATTGGAGCCAAGATCATTCCGCAGGTGTCTTTTGGTTCGCACATTTCCAAGATTCCACAGCAGGCCATGCGTACAATGCAGAATGCGGTTGCTAGGGCATTGTGGGCCGGACAACCCATGTGGCGTTCGAAGCAGCTGCTCCAGTGCATCCTCTCACAACCGCACCGCACAGATCCGTACTTTGCTGCTGCCTATCTTACGATCATTGAAACAGTGCGGTTATGCTGGTGCAACAACGACGCATGCACTAAGCTCCTTCGTACGTGGACGAATGGCACAGGCAACCACTCCCTGGCGAACAGTCTCCGAGCTGCCTTTGATGTGTTGGGGATTGATACTGATGAACATTTGGGTTTTTCTTTTTCAAATTCGCCTTTTGTTCCCCTTCTTTCGCTTTCACCCAGCTGCATCACGAAGGCGTTGCAAAACATTGTTCGCAATGCTTGTTATAGGTCTATTAATCCCAAGTCTAGAAAAGATTTTGCCAAGCCAAGTGGGATCTTTGATTTTCAGCAAACCACTTTGCTTCTGCGCTCTAGATCCTGGAAAGAACACAGTAATCAAGAAAGATTCTTTCGACTTGAGAACATTCTTGTCGGCTGTACACTCACAAATGACCGATTGGCGTCCTCAGGCTGGGTCACGAATGCCAATTGCCGCTTCTGTGACAATGCAAAGGAAAGCATGCCTCATTTGATCCACTGTACGAAAGTCCATGCTATTTTGGGCAAACCGGTTCTACATGAGTTTGGCAGCAATTTTGCCGTCCTTGGCCACGTCCAACATCCAATCAGCATTGTCAGAAAGAGATTGCAGATGTCGGATATTTCCTCAATTGGTCTTGCTTCCACTTTCTCTGCGGAACACAATGAAAGGATGTGGACAGACGGTTCCGTCATTCACTCCAACACCTTCTGGATCACGAATGCTGCCTATGCAGTCCTCGATGAAACCCGTCAGACTCGATTCAAGGGTTTGGTACAGCACTGGAACATGTCAGCCTATTGTGCAGAACTTTGGGCGATCCTGGTCACGTGCGCCCGTGCATGCTTCACCACATGCATATACTGTGACTGTTCCAGTGTGGTAGAGCAAGCCACCCTCATCTTCCAGGGCGAGATGCCAGCAAAGCATTGGAAGTATTGGCGCACGTTGTCAAGCTCAGACAGTCGGTTGTTCAAAGACCATTCCACATACAGTGGATTCCCGCCCACTGCTATGAACAGATACCAATTGAGTTGCTTTCCGAAGAGCTTGCACGGTTGAAGAACACCACGAACATATTCACCACAATCGTTTGGTTGACATGGCGGCAAGAGACCTTGCAGTTTCCACTGCACCGGTTCATACCAGCATTCAGCAGCAAGTCGCAGGGGCGGTTTCTGGCCATCAACAATGGCTTGTTGATCTGCACGCCCTACTCCCGACAGAACAACCTGACAGGGCTGTTGTAATCAAAGGTGATGAGGCACCTCAACTGCCTGACTTGCAGGCTTGCCGGAAGCGTTTTCCACAATGGTTGTGGGGTACAAAGGAGACAATGTTCCCATGGAAACCGAAAATTCCCCACGGGGTGGCCTGTCCGGTGAAATGGTCGAGTACCACACAGAATTGGGACACATGCTGCGCCTTTTTGCGATCCACAACATGGTTGGTTGACAGCAAGCATGACTACTCCTTCAATGAACTTGCAGTCCTTCTGCATACCAGGGGTTTCTCCTTACATTTTGCTCATGAGAAAGCTACCTACCTTGATGTGTACAAGCTTGTGCGGGAAGCATTGTCATCCCTCAACTCGGATCCCTCTGCTGATCCACACCCGGGAAAATTTCATACATCAAAGCCACGTTGCTGTGGCCGTGTCTTGCCACAAGGCTCCATCCAGGGAGCCATACCGTTTGTGACAGATGAAGAGAGTCGCGATTGGTCAGCTTTTTCACATCGGTGCCGGCCGCACGTTGGCATCTTGGGATATCCCGCTGGCTTAGTTGGATGGTGTTGCATGTGGGGTCTGCCTTTGGCTTATTTCTGTACATAGACCAGGGTGTCTAGTACAATGCTGACGCCGTCTCACAGAGACCGTCCGCAGAGAGCGATGAGTTACTAGTAGTAATGCCCTTGTTACTAGGTGGCGATGCACTTGTTCCTCCCAAAGCACTTGGACGGGCCTCTTCCCAGGCGGCTTTGTGTGCGGCGTCACTGGCGAATGGTCTACGGCTCCCACATGCGCCCGGGGCACCCAGGATCAACAGGGAGACTTGTTGTGAAAGCATGTGTTTTGTTGCATACAAATGCACTCTTTCTTATTTGCACGTCCTGATTTACATGCAAAAAGAAGGGTTCGTCATGGGAGGATGGATGGAATTCGAAGTCTCAGCTAGCTTTCAAGTGGTGTCGATGGAATGCTTGGAATAGGTTCAAAGCTCTACCAAGTCTTGTGACCATCCCCCTACCAATTGCTGTAAGAGCTTTACTTTGGGTTGATTTCTTCATTTTTTTCCTTCCAAGCACGCCGCTTCGGCCCGCGCTGCTCCTGCACCGCAAGGCCTCCATCTGGTCGGTGAGCTCTTGGGGTCCCTGCACTGGTGTCGTGGGCGACTGCGGTGATGGCGGACTCCAACGCCGCGAGGTGCGGCGAAAACAACGTGCGTGTGGGGGCTGGAGGGTCTAGAATTCATTGAAGATGCATGTGTTTTTTCCCTCACCAGGCATGGTTTTCATCTGTACTCCACGACCTCTAATGTTTGGGCTTCTGCATCCGTTTTGAGGGTAGTGCCTGGTCTTGGTGTGGGGGGGCGAGGTGGCTTTGGGAGAAGCGAGGTGGATGAGAAGCCACGTTGGAGGGTTTGCTGTGGTATGAGGTGGAGAAGAGAAGTTAAAACTGGGTTCCTGGGTAAACACACCAACTGGGGAGTGCAGGTGGAGCAAAACTTGGAGAGGCCAGCTGTCTTTGAGCTGGATGTGTTTGCGCAGCAGAATTGGACCAGGTGGTGGCAAGATTCTAGGTATATCTACTACCCAGACGCTCATGGACCCTCATATGGAGGGGTCTGGGGTCTCAAATTCCTAGGTACTTCCTAGGTTTTGAGGGACCAGGGGCTGTGAACGGAGCGTTTGGGTACAAACAAATCTTGTTGGAAACGCACATCTCAAGCCCATGCCAATCCAAGAGAGGTATCCAGTGAACTAGGACCCATCACCTGGGGTACCCAACTGGCATAGTCGAACGTTCGGGTCCTGACCCACCTCCGTTGGATGATTTTGGTGACACTTTTGTGTGGCACTTCGCGACGGCAACACCTTGTCGTGTCAGCCACCTCGGAGATACCATGAAGGGGGCGATTTCCATTGGTCGGGTCGGTTCGGTCGAAAACCGGACGTTGGGTTTGACGGGAACATCTACAGGAAACCGAGACCGGAGCACCCCCTGTAGATGTTTCCTTCAACTGGCCAATCTATTGAGCTGTGGGAAGGTGAAGTGCGGCTCCGACCCTCAGGCCATTCTTGTTGCATGTGGAAAGCTGGTGTGTGATCGTTTCCTGGCGACCAGACCTGGTTACCAGGTTGAGTTGTTCATCCGCTGTCGGCCAGGTCACCTGCCCCGATAGCTCCGGATGCCACTCCATGTCCAAGCCCATAGAGGCCCGGGATGGGCGGTGTAGATTGGTAGAAGGACCATGAAAGACTCATGAAGCCCAGGGGCCCTCAAAACCATGAAAAAGAGGGGTAGTTTACCAGGGGCCCTCAGTTGACCATAAAAGAACACCATGAAAAAGAAAGGTATTCACAGACAGGTCACCAGGTTGTTTGGGTCGAGAAAGCCCAGTTGTTTGATGGGACCTGTGGAGCTCTAGACTCAGACCACCAGGCCCAACACATGGCAGTCACCGAAGACCACTGGGGCTGCTGGGTCGAGAGCTAGGTCGAGTCATGTGACTGATGTGTGTTTCCACGACCTGAAAAAATCGAACGACATGTGGAAAGAATGGCCAAGAAGAAGAAGAAGAAGTGTTCATCCTCGTTCTGTCTTCCTCACCTGTTCTCCAGACCTGCCGACCCTGTGACGCACTTCCGGATGAGCAGGAGCAGCCTTGTCGCGCCACGATCGGATGCACCTGGGCACGGGGGCCCGAACGAAGGAGGCTGCCCGGTGTCCTTCAAGTCCACAGGAACTGAAAAAGACCTGCCAGGGGTCACAAGACGGGTGGTTTTGAGTCCCCTTACGTGAGTGGAGTAGCTGGGCACTCCTATCCTCCAAGTTCGGCGCCCCGTCTTGTGACTCCATGGTGAGTGGTATTCCAGTGGTGTCGTTTTTTGTGGCGGTTTTCGGATGATGTATGTTGATGTACATGTTCCCTGTCGAACGCCAACCAGGGTGAATGTGTGGTTGCTGCCCGGTGTTCCCCGGGGGCTGAAGCGCTGAAGCCGTGCGCTGAAGCCGTTCTTCATCGTCTCGCACACGGTGTTTCATTGGCCTTTCTGATCTGAGCAACAGTGGTGCAAAAACACTGGAGACCAGTGTGATAGTTATCAGTGATGAAGTGGTGGTCTCCTTTCTGCACCACACTGTCCAAAACACGCAGATGATATGAGCAGAAGAGGTGAGCGGCATGTGTTTTGCCGGCAACCAAGGGGGGAGCGATGGGCGCCGCCCCAAGCATGCACATGGTCCTCGTATGTGTCACATCATGTGTCTTTTCTTTGGCTTCTTGATCTGAAAGGCGTTCGCTTCGCGGCCATCAACAGCAAAAAACCATGGGTTTTGAGAGACAGCATGGGCATGACCTATATTCATCCTTTGGGTTCTCGAACATCTTCACGTAGTGCCAGAAATCAGAGAATTCAGTGGTAAGGGACCCAAGTATAGCAAGAGCCAAAAGAACTGCATATACATGCGATGATACAATTTCACAAGCATAGGATTCCGACCCCTTAATAACCTTGGAATGTTTAGCATTTTTTGAGGGGGACCAACTTATTATATGCAAGAATGCCTGCAATTTGTCATTTGTTGATTGTATCACATTGTGGTACAAGCTATTGTACGTACTGTATCCTTTGCCGTGTATCGTATTTTAGCCAATGCTATTGTACTGTATCGTATGCGGTTGAATTGCACTCTACTCTAGATTGTATCGCATTGTATTGTATTTCTTCAATTTTCTTTATGTAGCTCCTTTTTTCGACCCCCTGGAATTTGTACATTGGGGGTCCAAGCGATATTCCCAAATTCCTGCAATCGACGAGTCTATTGATCGACCTCCTTGAAGCCGTACATTCTTAAGCGGGTCCAACTTATATCCAACGATGCCTCTCCTTTTTGTATTATCCAGGGGTCACAAAGGGGTGGTGTTTGGTCCCTAAGTGAGTGGAGTAGCTGGGCACCCCTAACCTCCAAGTTCGGCACCCCTTTGTGGCTTCTGGATTATGATCATTGTTTTTCCGAATGCGTAGCGAAGGGTTCGCGTTTACCTTTCGGGATCTGGGAGTCGAGCCTTGTTCGCGACTCGTTGTCGTAGCGACCGCAACCGTCCGCAACCGTTCGCGGGTGGGGCGCTATGTCGCTGACATTGGGCGAAGCTTTTGGAGAGGGTTTTGGATGGAAGCATGACGTGTCAGATTCGTGTGAAATAGCGAGCAAGCGTGCGGAACCGCGAGAGGGTGTGGAGGATGAATTCACTGCGCAGGGTGCAGCCGGCGCAGCGTTTTGTGAGATGGGCAGCTTTCTTCGCAGTCACATTGGGATTGGCGTTTAGAGGGCTGTGTTGTTGGGCTGTTGGATGCGGCTGTGACATTTGGATTTGCATATCAGGCTGTTGCTTCGAAGCTGTGTTTTCGTGACAAGTATCAGCTAAAATTGCCACTTTGGTGGCCGGGAGTGTGCTCAGAACGTGTCAAAATCAGTCCAAACGCGTGGTGCGGTGCAACTTTTGCATCTTTTGCTGAATCTACGAAGATATGGTCAGATATGATATTGTCACATGTCGTGGTAGGCGCAATATTTTGCGCGGGCTTTGAGCCGTGGAAGTGCAATTTCCGTGGCAGGGAATCATGAGGTTGCAAGGTGTGGCGATGGTCATATTTCGTGGCAGGCGCATGTACTGTGTGCGTGTTGGAGGTGTGGACGCGCAAATTTTCGTGGCAGGCGCAGGGAATCGTGAGGTTGCGAGTTGCGGTAAAGGTGAAAGTCGCTGTGACATTGGGATTGGCGTGTGGGCGGGTGTTGTTTGGAGGGGCTGGAATCTCGAAACTGCTTGGCAGGGCTGATGTGTGTGTTCTCCGATGGGGCTTCCCGCTTGACTTTTGGAGGAAGTCTGGTTGCAGACTTGAAGTGGTAATTTTTGAGGAAGTCTCGTAGACTTGACGCGTGCATTTTGGAAGATGTCTCGTACGAAATGCTCGTTTTGCAGACTTGAAGTCTGACTTTTGGAGGAAGTCTCGTGCGGAGCCAGTTTTGGAGACGTGACGGTGGACTTGGAAGATTTGTAGTGCCCCACAAGTGTATCCCACAAGAGCGTCCTACAGAGTCCTACAAGGGTGTCCCACAAGAGTGTCGGACAAGAGTGCCCCACAAGACTGTTCCATAAGAGCGTCCTACAAAAGTGTCCGACAAAAGTGTCCTACAAGAGTGTCCCACTCGAAAGCCTGGGACGAGGAGCGAGGACAAACGATTCAATCAGGACCGATCTCGACGATTGGAACCGCAATTTGTTTGAGTGTCACTGGCAACTTGTACGTAGTACACATGTAATGCAGGAAGCAGGTTGTGGGAACTGTGGCCTCAGAACTGCCCACTTGGTAGTACAAATGTAGTACTGGAAGCGGCTTCTGGCCTCAGAACTGTCCACTTGGCCACCTGGTAGTACCAATGCAGTGCGGCAAGCAGCTTCTGGGAGCTGTAGAACTGGCAGCAAATGCAATACGGGAAGCAGTTTCTGGGAGCTGTGACCTCAGAACTGTCAACTTTTCTGGCCAAGTTACATCTGAGTTCGTGAGTGTCCCACAAGAGTGGGTCGGGAAAGCCTTCCACAAAAGGGCAAAGAAACAGATAATATCGCGTACTTTTTGGGAGATGGTGTGTTCGGACTCCTTCTCTCCGCCGTTGGGCAAGTCGCCGTTCCAGTCGCCGTTCCACGCGCACAATCACCTTGAGCCTTTGGGGCGCGCTTGAGGTCACTGGAGATTGGTCGTTGTGTTCCAATCAGTGCGGTCTGGGAGCGAGGCCGCTGGCGCGTCGCTTGCGGTCGAACGGCGGCTTGCTCAGCGACGGCGTCGAACGACGAACGTGTGGGTCGAACGGCATGGGTGGGCGGTGGACCTCGGGGAGTACGTGGAATCACCTTGAAAAAGGTATTTTTGGGGGGGTGAAAGGAGGACTTGGGGAGGGACACTCCACTCAACATGAATTTGGCGGAAAGTTTGAGGTGAACCGTCCTTTTCCATTCTTCCGGGAGGTTGAGCTGGGAGGTCTCCCTATTTAGATGAGGGACGTGGGGCCAAGATCAATCGATGTAGTATAGTTCCCATGTGTTTTGCTGTCTTTGGGTCTGCCACCACGCTGACCACTGCCATCTTCCAGATGATGCAGCAAGAACTTCAGGTTTGTTTCCAACAAATATCACACTTCAAGCCCAGGTGTAATTTGATTCCCTCCGAAACGCGCCAACACCCAACAAATGTGTTTCTCCGTTCTCTCCGTTCTCTCCAACTCCTCTCGCAGAAGGCTTGTCCTGTCACCACGTAGGTCTCGCAGCGTGGCCTGTTCTTCACCCCAGAGCTGGGACTGTGCCGACGCGCCGCCCGTCGCCAGCCGGGGAGCCCATCCAGATGGCGGGCGCCATGACGCCGCTTGAGTGACCGGGATGGGCGGAGGCTGGCGGCAGCATCGCTGCCTCCTTAGGGATCGGTTCAGAACTGCTTGACGTCGGAACTGCTTGGTCGGGGTCCAGGTTTCAAGGCCGTTTTTTCCATCCTGTTTTTCCGAGCGGTTTGGCTTGCCCGTTTCTCCGACCGGATCCTCCAGTCCACTTGATCAAAGGGAAGTGATACGGGTTGTGGGTCATGGCATCCAGGCACTGGACGACCTAGGTGGAAAATGAACAGATGTCCTCTAGAAGGGATGGGGTGGCTGGATCAATGATGCCCTCATTCTATTAACCTCCAATCTCTTTTCTCACGATGTTGGACGACGTCGTCATTTTGGGTCTAGGTCGTAGGTCAAAGAAAAGCTGGGCAGAGGACAAACGGCTGTGAGTCAACCCCAGGTAGTTTCTGATGTTGATTTTCCCTGCTGCATACACCCTGCATGTGCTTGAGGTGTTCTGGCTGAAGGCCCTTCAATGTTCACAGGTGGGGCAGGCTACCCGAAGTCTTCACAACTTTGTATTGAACTGACATGAACAAGGAGCAGACCACAATCAACAAACGACATCGTGGTCTCCATCATGCGGATGCTTTTGGGCTTTTGTTCGGAGGATTGGACATTGAAATTCCAGGGTTCCCAACCGCCGCTGACCGTGTGCGGCCGGCCACCATGGCTGAGGCATGTGTAGTTGGCATTGGCACAGAAACCCCAAGGGGTAGGCTAGGTTGGGTTTAAAAAAACGTGTCAACCCAGTTCATTCCCCAGATACTCCATGTACATGCCACATTTGCCTACATTGGGGTAGTTTGCGGGGTCAATGGGTCGGCATCTATGGCAGTCCCATGCAGTGTTTGGGTTCTTTTCCGTTTGACCGCCGCCGATCTGATCTGCTCAGATGAGTCGTGCAGCGACTACAGTCAATGTGAATGGCAGGCGACTACGTGCGAACCGTGCGGGGGTCGCCCGCGCGTGTCGGGGGGAAAGAGGTCCATCGTGGCTTCTTCGCACCGTTTGGACACGACCCGTTTGGGATTGCCATAGATGCCGATCAATTGGGGTGGTTGACTGAAGGTCAATGGGCCGGCAAATGCCGGCAATCCCAGACGGGTCGTGTCTGGGGATGCTTCTGAAGCACACGATGGACCTCCGGAAGCGGATGGATGTCCTCTATCATCTTTTTGGGAGGTTCACTGGAAGATGGTGGGACCCACAGGGTTTTTCAATACCGGTGATTGGGCGGCTGGATCTGCTTGCTGTTGGTCATGCCATCAGCACCATGCCATTGGATCATCACTGTTCAGTGCCCTTGACCTCTCTTGACCTCTCCCAGTGTCCGTGTGCACCGGCATTGTGTCGTGGCACCTCGGGTTGGTCTCCCGAAACCAGGAAAAAATCTCTATCCATCTTCAGGGTCCACATGGGGTCAACCTGGGTCAACCGGGTGCGGAAACGTCACGCGTTGCGCCAAGCACGGGTTCGAGCCCGTCCTCCGTTGAGCCACGCCGCAGCGAGAAAAAACGGAGCACCAAAGACACTGGCGGTCATGGCACCGTCGGCGAAGGGGTTTTTGGACCGGTCCTAGAGTCGGAACATGGTGAGTGGACCAGGACCAGACATGGACCGGTGTCGCCTGGCGAGAAGTCCAGCAAAACGCGCTGGAAGAACAGGATGGACCAGGATGGATGCATATATGCCAATCTCACCTTCGGACGAAAAGAGTTCCATGGGGACCACCATGGATGGCACCACCACCTTGGTGGTCTTCGGATTTCATGGGCATCCCAGGGGAGTCGGGGTCATGGCATCCACAGCGAGGGCCCGAGGGCGCCCTTGGCCCTACTACAAGCGATGCCCTCGCATGCGAATGCTCACACCCAGTCGACTCCATGGGACTGCTATAGGACTGCCGATCCATTGACCCAATTGATTCATCGGCATATGTGGCAGGCCCATGGAGCGTTTGGGACATCATACATGTCTGATGGATTCACATTCACGGCGTTGTTCGGGAGAGGCAGTTTGCTAGTGGTCGGTGGGTGATGATTATGCCAACAATTATAGAAGTTGCAAAAGGTGTTTCAGAAAATCATGCCGCGTTCATGATTGTTGGATATGGTGTGTGTGTGTGTGTGTGTTGTGGGTCGCTCTTGTTTGGGCTACAGCTTATGTCGGTGTATTTTCGCACAAGTCAAACTTTACTGTTCACTTTCTGGTTGTCTTGCGCTCGTCCGATTTGTCGCAGAGGCAAATCCTGAACTTGATCTGTTGTGGCACATCAAACTTCCACTTGATCATATGAATGTACTATGTAGTTGGTTACGCTCTGTAGTGCCGCAAATCATTCCTCTGAACCGTAAAACATGGGTCGTGATTCGGATCAGCCAAACATGGTGGGTGGTATCAGCAAACTCTCACACCTACCATCAAATCGGGACGAAGTGTGAAGGGTCGAGAGTAATCCATCCGAATCCGCCCGTGCGGGCGCCCGAGGGCAGCGTTGCCAAGGGAGTGACGATGTCCGTCGCTTCCCTTGTGACGAACTGCTCAAGACGACCACATGGAACCCACAAAAACCAATGGGTTGGTCTTCGGAAGAGGATCAAAACCAGGGGTGACTTCTCAGGTCTATTTGTTCGTCTCAGGTATATACGCTGTTCATGTCCATGGATTGTTGCCAGATAAATCAGATGAAGTGTAAGTACCAAGGACGCTACTAGGCGCTCCTGGCCTTACTACTAGGAACAAGGACGCTACGAACGGAGCAAAGGGCATCGCTACTAGGGCCTTTTCAGCCAGATGATCCGGAACAGGTGCAGCCTTGGAGCACTTGCAGCAGCAGCTGCGGCCTTGGCACACAGCGGGGCTTCCCCAGAGCGCCGTGTGCCTCACTTTTTTAGGCTAAGTCGACGTTCAGTTCCGTAGATACAGGAGCATAGTGATACATATTAGAAACAAAATTCTTTGGGGGTGTCCGAACTTACCTGTAACAGTCAGTAAACAATTATCAATGTTTTAGAGAAAGGCCTTTGCTAACCATCATCATCCACTGTTACAAGGAATAGGATCTACCCCAAATATTCTTATGATATCAGGTCTTCAGAGGAAAGTCACCCGGGAGTGCCAACACACACATGTCATGATGTTTCATGATGCTTCTATGTTCTATAGAATGTTTTAGAAGCCCGCCAAACAGAGAGCACAAGATCATGACCCCATCATTGACTGGAGCCTCTGTGTTTGGGATTCTTCTCCGTTCTCCAACAAACATTGGAAGGAAGAACCCTGTGATGTTCTCAAAACTCTGCCACTTCAAAGTAGGACGCAGCCCATATATATATATATATATTCACTCCTTCCGACTTCCCAAAAAAATCAACTGCTTTCAGGGATGTGCAGGTCCTAAGTCATGACCAAAACCAAAGAATCAGGTGAACCTTCGTTCCACCAGCTGCAGCGCCTCCCTCCCCGCCCAAGGACACGCGAGGCCCACTGCCCAGCCGAGCCGACACACTGCCGGGAGCGCCCGGAGAGAACGCATCGAAGAGAAGCGGCGCGTGCCACTCGTGAAACGGTCGGAGGTGAAGAGAACGAAGCGGAGGAGGCCGTTGGTGGAACGATGTGGAGTGTTTTTTTCTGTTGTTTTCTGTGGTGTGTGTGTGTGTGTTCCTTTTTCTGAGCTGTTTTTGTGTTGCTTAGTGCTGATGGCAAGTTGAAAAGAACACAACTCTACTGAGTCTGTCAAAGAAGCAAAAAGCATCTGGTTTGTACGGTCCAAACCCTGTAAGACTTGAGGCTGCCATTCATTGGCCTGCCCTCTCCGGACCTGACTTGGCACGAGAATCCGGTCCATACCTGGGGACTGGATCCGCCGGGTGGCTCACGAGCCAAGGGGCCCAAGGGGTTTGGAGTGCGATGCCCAAGCACTCCCAGGTCCACCAGGGCGCAGGGCATCGGGCGACAAAACCCACACTGGACTTCAATGGACTTCAATCTCAGTTTGAGTTTCTGCTTTGACTCGCCAGCCTGGGCTGCGTCACAGGGCTACATTTCGAAGGTTGCTGATGTCAGCATGCGGCCTTTTCTCGGAGCCGGGGCGTGGGACACAATGTTCGACGGTTTGGATATATAGTGACTCTAGTGCCCCTCCAACATCAGATGTGTTTGCATCCAGCATCGAGTGCATCCAGCAGATCAACCATGAGACAATCTGGCAAAATGTTTGTTGAATGGAACGCATGATGAGATCTATATCCCAGACTCTCCATATATGATATATATATATACCAGGATCATCCAATGGGTGTCCTGGCTAGGCTACCCTACCCTACGTAAACAGGTCCCACTTTCATTGATCACATTCATTGACCTCTGAAATCCCGACCGATCGGTCCCAGACAGGTCGTGTTTGGGGGGCTGGCAATGTTCGCTACGCTGCTAGCAATGTTCGCTACGAACGGGGCGCTCCTGGCCTTACTACTAGGAACAAGAAGCTACTAG